GACCTCTTTATTGGGACATTCCCATCACTGCAGAAACTTCTAGCAGACAACACTAACAGAGGAAAAGACAAGAAATGAGTCCTTGTAAAGTTTGATCCTCTTAATGTTAAATGTGCACTTTCATGTATCTATTAAAATATTAGTTGATTAAACTGTGAATAGTGGTTTCTCTAGCAAATAAGATGACCAGGGGTCTTCTACTCCCTATACACTTTATTGTTTGAATTTGTTTTTTAAAGATTTTATTTATTTATTTATTTATTTGGCAGAGAGAGAGAGAGAGAGAGAGAGACAGACAGACAGACAGACAGCACAAGCACGGGGAGAAGCAGAAGGGGAGGCAGAGAGAAGAGCAGACTCCACCGAGCAGGGTGCCTGAAAGGGGGCTTGATCCCAATACCCTGAGATCATGATCTGAGTCAAAGGCAGAAGCTTGCCCTTTTGTCTGAATTTTTAATAAAGCTTATTTTATTCTTAAAATGAGTAAAAGTCAAAACATATTTTCCTATATGGTAAAAAAAAAACAAAACAAAAACCCAGTCAACCAACGTTTTTCTTGAGCTTGATTAGAATATGGTTCTAATCCCTGAGTTAACTAAGCAACTGACTCTAACTCCTATATAATTACTGTGACACTCGTGTTAATAAACCATTTCAACACAACAAAGAGTGTGTCCCACACCTAGAAATTTTCCAGAGTTTAGCTCAGTTTCTGGAAAAAGTTCCTTTAGGGCCCATGGGTGATATCACATTTCAGATGCAAGCTGGAACAGGCACTGGACGATTGCAAACTGTATTTCTTGAATTGAGGGGGTTCCTTGGGCATAGGCTGTTAATACACCTTTCCATTTAGATTTACACAGTTGATAACAGGTCAAATTTCAGAAAGGGCGGCTCTGAATTATCCTCCCGAGAAATTCCCACAGCCGGTCTCAACAATACACAGATAGAGTCAGAAAGAAGAACACACTGCATGTAGAATAAGGTCAATTCCCCCCCGCACCCCCCCCCACCCCCCGAGCTAGGTGTAGGAGAAGAGAGGTTATATGCTCTTTGTTAAAAGAATTCCAAAATTTTAGTCTTTACCAAATACCAGATCTTTAATTTTTTTAAGAAAAAAAAATTCTTAAAAATGTCTCAGAATAACTCTCCAATACTAAAACTATTTCACATCTACCCCAGGGAATAATTTGATCATTTGTGTGCCAACAACAGCATATTCATATATGCTTATTTTACTCCCTAAGTAAATATTCTTGGTAACTGCCTCCTATTCCACTGCCGTGAATACTGAGGAGAAAGCTCTTAGTGGGAAGGAGATGAAAAACATCAATCTGTCTAGGAAAAAGAATTTTTTCTTTTGTTTGGTTTTGCATTCTGAAAATCAGTGTGGGTAAAGCCAGAAAAGAGATTTGGTTTTGTGCCAGCCTCAACACTCATTTCATTTGGGGCCAACTGTGACAATAACTATGCTTCATCTGTGTGGGAGGAGGGTAGGCCGAATGAGGGGTATTTACCACTACCCCATATACTTTACGAATGGAGAAAAGATACATGAAATGGGGGCAGAATGAGAAGATAGTGAGCTTGGCAGATTCTTGAACAACGTCCTCGATGTTTTCCCAAATCCTTTCCAAAGAAAGGCACAGAAGCCACCTATACATCAAACTGAGATAAGTACTAAAGCTCCTTGAGTATTTACCTAACGTCGAACCCACCTAGGCAAGCCCCACAGAGGTCACCCGATAGGTAACCTCTTCAGTGCATGGCCACCTGCTCCCTCGCACAACAAAAATCTTCAGTAATCTGGACTATTTCTAATAATTCACATAGAAAGCTGGATTGAAGTTCATTTTTATCTACGCAGAAAGTCTTTGCTAAGAAAATAAGAGTATAAATGTGATTACCTCAGAACTTCGAATTTGCCTGAAAGTTTGCAAGTTCCCTCCGAACTCTTTAGGACTCAGTTACTTCCCCTAATTGTAAATCACACGTTAAGGGGAGTTATTTAAACAGTCTTTCTAGGAGAACATCTATTAGTCCTTTCACTGAGCATAGCATATTTCATTCGTGGATTTGAAGTACTATCCACAAAAATGAAGTAGTCTTTTTAGTCCATAAAGAAAATCCTATAAAAACAAGAGAAAAGCATACTATGTAATATGTTTACATTTTGGTGTGAAAGAATCTAATTTGGTATCTTCCTTTTATCTGAGGTTCTAGTTGCAACTTGGTATGTCTAAAATGAGTAGTAAATACATGAGAGTGGACCCTTGAACAGCATGGGTGTTAGGGGCTCTGACAGCCCATGGAGTCTGAAATCTTTGTATAACTTTTGACTTCCCCAAAGCTTAACTCCTGATAGCGCAGTGTTGGCCAGGAGCCTTACCAAAAACATAAACGGTCGATTAACACATATTGCATATGTTATACATATTATATACTATATTCTTACAGTAAAGTAAGCTAGAGAAAAGAAAATGTTATTAAGAAAATAATAAGGAAAGTACATTTAAGTACTGCACTCAAAAAAAAAAAAAGTACTGCACTCTATTATTTATGGGGAAAAAAATCACATACAATTGGACCCATGTAGTTCAAACCAGTGTTGTTCAAGGGTCATCTGCATACTCAATTGTGGGGATAAATTAATTCCTTCAGGCCACAAGGGTTCTACACAGTAATTACTGCTTTGTGCGCTGACCCGTACCTAGTGGCCTGAAAGCGATAATTCATCATTAAAAGGAAAACTGTTTACCTACGTATTCCTCCAAAGGCTCTTTATTGGTCACTTAACTTAAACCAGTAAAGAATGAAGAGGCCGACCATAGAAAAGAGGAGTCTTTCAAATGAAGACATTTACAAACCTGAGCTATGCAAGGAAAAAAAAAAATCTAGGTTTCTCCTGAGCCATGGCATCAGTACACAAGCCAAATGAAACACAATTACCCCCAAACTTGGCACATACCATCTAAATTCAAATCTGAAAAAGCAGTCCAACAAGTGCAGCAACTCGACTTTTTACCGATCTCCTCCCATGTAACTGCCTATAAAGAAATCCATTCTATCAATCTCTTCCCACTAGAACTTGTTAGATTATCTGCTCTTGGTTGAAACACTTCAGTCCACTGGGCATCTCTAAATTTTGAGTAACCGTGCTAGCCTACAAAATGTGCGTGTACAAAACTGAAAATCTCTGAAGAGGACGTAGCGATGCCTCTGGGTGCTGATCTGGGAACTTCACGCAGCCTCTACATGGCAAGGCTTGTCTTGGGCCAGGTCCAGATCAATGGGCACACAGATGAGCCGTTCTCCGTAGCATGAATGCTCTGCACTGTGTAGGCAAGGAGGTACAAATCAAACCTTCCAAAGAATGAATAATAAATAGAAATCACAGTGGAGAAGACAAAAGTCCAGGGTCTCTCCAGAAAGATAACAGACAGGTGCGGAAGTTACTTGGGTAACCCATATTTCACCTGGACCATCCTAGCACACTTCACCCTAGCCCTAATACTATTGTCTCAAAAGTGTATTTATATTTAGTGAGCTATCATGGGCAAATTTCTATCCCCACATACACAGAACTCAAGCTCAGATTTCTGTTGAATTTCCTTTCCTCTTAAAAAAAAAAAAACAAACAAAAAAAAACAAATTCCAGACTTGAATTGTAACATTCGGTACTTGCAGCTGCCACCGAAGTATTATTCACTGCAAAAAAAAAAATATAAAAAGCAACTTGCAAATGGGAGAAACATTTAGTCAGCTTTTCCTTTTCTTGATCTCTTTTAATATTTTATAACACATGAAAGCTCAGTAAAAGTTCCTTTCTTAAACAAATCTTCAAGCAGACGTTAAAGAGAATGCAAATGCTTTACACTTTATATCATCAATCATTTAAAGGATCCTCTCCATGAACTGAATAAATAAGCCATCTGTGATGAAGGCCTCCCTATCATGTTTTCAAGCTGACCCACTTCATCAGTCACCATGGTTTGCAAAATCTCACATCTAAGGGGCAGCAGCAGTCAGTGCTCTGTGCCAGCGCACAGGTTGAATCCCAACGGGGTAAAGGGGGGTAACGCAAACACCACCTCCAAGGACCCCAGTCTGGTTTAAAATGACCGCCCCCCCCCCAAACTCTAAAAACAGAACTTCAATACCCTTAACCGGAAGCAATCTTTTCTCCAAAGGGAGAGTAAAATCAAGTCTGCGGGGGGAGAAAAGGGAGCCAGCGAAAAGGAAGAAGAAATCTGACCAGGTGCTAAAAGGCGGGGTGCAGCTGGCTTTGCAGATCAAACACCCGCTTTGCAAGCAGGATCTGCTCAGGTGCCCCCGCCCCGCGCCCCCGCCAAGCCTGAGCCGGAACCAGCGGGCCGGTCCTGCTTGAGAGAGGGCTCTGCGGGCGCGCGGGGCAGGGGCGGGGGCGGGGGCAGGGGCGGGGGCGGGGGCAGGTCCGCTCCCCCGCGCCCCCGCCCCGCCCCGCCCCGCCCCGCGCAGGCCGTGCGGGGAGCACAACTTTCCGCAGTTCCCCGCCGCCGCCCGCGCGCGGACCACCCCGCGCAATCCCAGCACCGCTCCCCCACCGGGTCCTCTCCTCCTCCCGAGGCGGCGGCGGCGGCGGCGGCGGCTGGGGGAGGGGCGGGAGGCCCGGGCAGGACCTGGACAGGATGACAAGCGGCGGACGAGGACGCCTCCCCACAGAGGGCCGGGGGCCGCGCCTCCCCCGGTCCCGCCGAGCCGCACGCCGGCCAGGACAGGCGCGTCGCACCCGCGGGCCGGGGCCCGGCCGGGCGCAGGCGGAGGCGCAGGCGGAGGCGCAGGCGGAGGCGCAGGCGGGGACGGGGCCGAGCCGGGCCGGCGGCGGCCGCGCGGCAGGTGACAGCGGAGGGCCCGCCCCGGGGACCCCCGCGCGCCCCGCGCCCCCGCGCCCCCGCGCCCCCGGGGCCTCGCCCCCGGAGTCCGAGCGCAGCCCGCGCCGCCCCGCGCCGCCCCGCGCCTACCCTTTGGCGTGCTCCGTCTCCTCCTCATTGTCCCCGTCGATCCCGCACGTGTCCTGGTCGTCCAGCTCCAGGCTCTGCTGGCTGGCCGCAGACTCGCTGTCCTCCGCCATCGCGGCGGCGCGGGCTGGGGAGGCGGCGCTCGGGGCCGCGGGCGTGGGGGACCGGCGGCGGCGGCGGCGGCGGCGCGAGCAGCTCCCCCTAGTGCCGCCCGCCGTCCCCTCCGCGCCGGGAGTCCCGGCGCCGCGCCCGCCGGCCCGCCCCGCCCCTCCCCGCCCCGCCCGGCCTGGGCCCGCCCACCGCGGCGGGGGCGGTGGGGGCGGGGCCATGCGAGCGAGGGGCGGGGCCATGCAGGGGAGGGGGCGGGGCGCGAGCCGGAGGATGGAGTGGGCGGGTGGGGGAGGGGCCATGCAGGGGAGGGGGAGGGGGGCGCGAGCCGGCGGACGGAGTGGGGTGGGGTGGAGGAGGGGCCATGCAGGGGAGGGGAGGGGAAGAGAGGGAAGGGGAGGGGGCGGTGCCGGGGGGTGGGGGCGCGAGTCGGCGGGTGGAGCGGGGCGGGGTCCCCCGGGCGCTCCCTGCCACCCGCCCGGGGCTCGGCTCGGAATAGGTCCGCACGCTGCTCCGGATCCCGGAGCCTTCCCCGTGGAGCACCGCCGCGACGCTCCCGCTCTACGGGTTAGGGAGCGCTTTTAACCATCGCAGGCATCTTCCACTCAAGAGTAGGCGTGCCAGGGCCCATGATTTCTAGAAGCCTCCCGCACATACACAGACGCTCTTTAAAAATTCCACTTCTTGTGTCTCGGGCCCACACCCTGTCAACTCAAAGTCCAAGGCCAAGCAGTGCCTCCCCCTCCCCCTCCCCCTCCCCCTCCTCCTCCCCATGCCAACGGCCTGGCAGCCCCACAACCCTTCACAGAGGAAACCCCTGAGCTGCCCCTGTTTTCCGTGGACATCGCCGCAGCCAGGCCAGAGCACAGCCACCGCCTTAGGGGTCCTGGGGCAGTGCTGTCCGTGTCGCTGCGGGATCGGACACTTGGCATTCGCCACGTGCAAGTGTGAACCCACACGGCCGAGCGAACGGAGACGGTCCCCGGTGAAACTCTCGGTGGCCCCCGTGGACCTGGAGGGAAGGACGTGGGTGGCCAAGTACCGGGCAGGTGAAGTGCAGGCTCGTCTGCGGCCGCGTTCCGTACACAGCAGCCCTTCGTTTGCTTCCCTGGCACGGCTGGTGTTCAACAGTCCTGCCAGACACCCGGAGCTTTAGAAAGAGAGTTCTCAGAAACTGCTCAGCGAGCAAAATGGAACTTTAAAAAGCCACCTGAGGGGCGCCTGGGTGGCTCAGCCGCTGAGCGTCTGCCTTCAGCTCAGGGCGTGATCCCGGGGTCCTGAGATCGAGTCCTGCGTTGGGCATCCCGCAGGGAGTCTGCTTCTCGCTCTGCCTGTGTCTCTGCCTCTCTCTCTGTGTCTCCCGTGAATAAACAAAATCTTTTAAAAGTAATAATAAAATAAAAAGCCACTGAAAGTTTTGGCGTGGGTCCCTTTTTTGCAGAAGCGATTGGGAGCATTGCGTGCCTCTTTTATCCCCCCACAAGGGAGACCATGCCCTTAAAATGTATTGAGGCGGAGAATATCAAGACAAAAATTGCAGAGCGATTTCAAAGCCCATCAGCCTTTTATGATTGACAGTATTGAGCTTGCTAAAGTTCAGGAAGAAGTGCAAAATCGGGCCAAAAACATGAAGGAAATACAATACTATCTTTCACAATTGCACTATTTCTGAGGCAGACAGTCACTTGTGGCCTCTGCCTCCAAACTTGAGAATAAAGGCAAACACAGATCAGAGCGCTTCCCGCGGCTCTTGCCTGGGAACATGAACAGTCGGATAACTGTAACCTAGTTGGGTAACCAGCAGGCTCATGGCCAGGAGCCCGTTTATCTGATCAGTCACTAACCTACTGGAAGGGCTCTTGAAAAGATTTTAAAAATACAAAGCAAAGGAAATTCAGCAGACGTATCTGTTTGAATTTGCAAGAAGCTTCGACTCCACACCTCTCAAAAAAAGGATCAGAAAACAAATAATCCTAGAGAAATTAGAACGAGGGCATCAAAAATCAGTTTAACGCTGGAAAACAATGACACACAGGGAACATCTGTTCCCCAGAATGGAAAGAAGTTGGCCCGGACGTCTGTTCAGTACAGGATTGAGGTATTATATAATACAGCGTTTGTCATTGTTAATCAGCTGAAGGAGGGCAAAGTTTGCAGATGACCCTGGAGAATCCTAAATCCTATTGTCGTGTATGGAAACTCGCTGTTTCTACCAAGGTTTGCCACTTTGCCTGATTTAATTCTAGAGTTTGGGGGAATTGCAGCCAGGTGGCATCTTCTAGAATCTCAGATCCAAGATTGATGTGGGGAGAGTACTATAAAGTAGCTACCAGTATGTTAGAGAGACCCCGGAGAGAGGCGCCTGGGTGGTACACGGTCTGACTCTTGGTTCTGCTCAGGTCATGGTCTCAGGGTTGTGAGATCGAGCCCCACATCGGCTCCCTGCTCAGCTCAGAGTCTGCTTGAGATTCTCTCTCCTTCTCCCTCTGCCCTTCCTGCTTGTGCTTGCACACTCTCTCTCACTCTCTTTAAAATAAATTTAAAAAAAGAAAAAAAAAGAGGCCCTAGACAGTTTTCCATCCTGCTAACTCATCTCCTATTATAGGTGTAAGACCATAATTGTATAATTGGTCTCATTTTTATCAAAACTATGATAACTTCTTGGTTTTTAAGAATTGTGGTAAAATACACATAATAAAAAATATACCGTCTTTGCCATTTTCTAAGTGTATAGTTCCATAGTGTTAAGTATAATCATGTTGTTGTGCAGCCAATCTCCAAAACCTGCAAAATTGAAACTGTATCCATTAGATGACTCCCCATTTCTGGGGCGTCTGGGTGGCTCAGTTGGTGGAGCGTCTGACTCTAGATTTCAGCTCAGGTCATGATCTCAGGGTCATGGGATGGAGCTCCAGTTGGGCTCCACACTCATCGGGGAGTCTGCTTGAGATTTTCTTCCTCTCACCCTGACCCTTCGCTCCTGTTCTTGCTTGCGTGCTTGTGCACCTGACCTCTCTGTCTCAAATAAATTTAGAAAACAAAAAACAAAAAATTCCCCATTTCCCCTTCGGATAGCCAGTATTCAGCTTTGTGTCCCTATGGATTTGACTACTCTAGGTACTTCATACAAATGGAATCATGCTGTATTTGTCTTTTGGGGAGTGACTTCACTTAGCATAATGTCCTCAGGGTTCACCCATGTTGTAGCATGGGTCAGAATTTCCTTCTTTTTCAGGCTAAATAATATCCCATTGTATGGATATAAACATTTTGTTTATCCATTTATCCTTCCATAGACACTTGGGTTGGTTCCACTTCTTGCTCTTGTGAATAATGCTGCTATGATGTGGATGAGAAACATCATTTGGAATCTGTGCCTTCAATTCTTTTGGATACATACTCCACTGTAGAATTACTGAATCATATGGTAATTCCATTTTTAATTTTTTTTGAGGAACTGTCATAGTGTTTTGCACAGAGGCTGTGCCATTTTACACTCCTATCAACAGTGCACAAGGGGTGCGATTTTTCTACGTTCTCATCAACATGCCAACACTTGCTATCTTCTGGTTCTTGTTTTTTTAAAGATTTTACTTATTTATTTGACAGAGAGAGAGAATGAGAGCAAGAGTGGGGGAACAGCAGAGGAAGAGGGAGAAGCAGGTGCCCTGATCAGCAGGGAGCTTGATACCAGGACATTGGGATCATGACCTGAGCTGAAGGCAGACGCTTCACTGACTGAGCCACCCAGGTGTTTGACGCAAGCCATCCTATGGGTGTGAGGTGCCATAACTTTTTGATATAACCAGAGATTTATATATAATCCTTGTTTCTGCTTACAAAGTATGTTTTTTAAGAACAGTAATAAAATATTTTAGAACCACATCTAATGGCTCTAATGGACCCAAGGGCGCCTGGGTGGCTCAGTCAGTTAAGCATCTGATTCTTGGTTTGGGCTCAGGTTATGATCTCAGGGTCATGGGATTGAGCCCCGAGGTGGGTTCCATGCTCGGCAGAGTCTGCATGGATTTCTCTCTCCCTCTCCCTCTGACCCTCTCCCTGTGCACTCTTTCGCTCTCTGTCTCTCCCTTTCAAATAAATAAGTCTTAAAAAAAAAGAAAATGGACCCAACTCTTAACCTCTCCCCGTAGTCATGTCCTTTGCAGTATGGCTTTGCATCTCTTTCCAGGAAAAGCCCTTGAGTGTAGATTGGCTTGTTGACCTGCTTTGGCCATTTGAATGTGATGGAAGCGATGCGTGTCAGATCCAACTCTAACCTCAAAAGACTTTGTGTGATTCCTCTCTCTCTCCATCTTTCCCCCAGAATCCTGCCACTGCAACAAATACAAGCCTAGAGAGCCTCCTAGAAGGATGAGAGACTCCACCAGTTAGGGGGTCTTCCAGACAAGGCCATCCTAGGGACCAGTCAACCTTCAGCTCACCTGCCCTCTGACTGTAGATACACTCATGATCCCAGCAAAGATCAGCTGAGATGAGCAGAATAACCCAGCAGACCTGTAGATTTGTGTGAAATAAGTGACATTGACTCAAGACGCTGAATTTTGTGGTATTTTATTATGTGACCATTGGTAACTGATACAGAAATTGGAATGTAACATGGGATGGTGCCACACTAAACATGCGCTATTATTGGCTTTGCAATTAGCAGGCGGATATTGGAAAAGTGGTAATGAAACCATAAAAGCCTAAAAAATATATATATATGGTGTCCCATGTTGTGTAGCGTCACAACATTTGGGTAGGGGTGCCTGGGTGGCTCAGTGGGTTAAGTGTCTGCCTTCGGCTCAGGTCCTGATCCCGGGATCCTGGGATCAAGTCCCTCGTCCGGCTCCCTGCTCAGCACAAGGACCTGCTTCTCCCTCTGCCTGCTGCTCTGCCTACTTGTGTTCTCTCTCTCGCTCTCTCTCTCATAAATAAATAAATAAATAAATAAATAAATAAATAAATAAATAAATAAAATTTGGGTAAAATTCTTGTTGTTAGCAACTCATAAGAGAAAATATATCTAATATAACTTAGATTCAAGAAAGGTCATTTCAAGGCTGACTATTTAAACTGTCAGTTGATTACTCCCA